AGTGACTTTCTGATGCTGTATCTTTAGTTTTACTTTTACTGTATATATTATTATCATTATTAATTTATTTATCATTTCTATTTTATTATTATTTTAATTTAGGCTACTATTATTATTATTATTATTAGGATTTGGATTATTATTGTATTATCGGGACCAGCCACACGCCCACCCACCACCTTCCCACAGGCTGGCTCTCTGGTGTTTCTTTCTCGTGTCAAACATAACTGCTACACAATTAGTCACACCAACCGAGTGTTATGGGCTACCCTACCACCATATTGTGTAGTCATTCACAATGCAGAAAGAAAGACTATAGACTGTGTGTGTGTGTGTGTGTGTCGACCTCCAAAGTAAATAACTATAATAAGAATGCGAGATATAATAAAATGTTATAAGTCTAACAAAATAAATGAGGTTATATTAAACTTTTCCCATTACATTTCCCTAACTTATATAATAATCCTTCACTTAGGCCTCCTCTCTAGTCCCTGTTGAATTAAACAATATATATTGCTTCCCTCATTCACACCAAGACGAACAAGTGAGATTATTGAGCAAATATTTAGATTATTTTAATTTCCTATCATTCTTTTCTTTAAACATCAATATTAAAGAACTATAATCGTTATATTATTATTATTATTATTATTATTATTATTATTATTATAGTGCTTGTCATTTACAATATAGTAATTATATTAAGAACTACAGTAAGTATTGTTAATCAGTGTATATTTTTATTCCATTAAAATATAACTTAAAAATATTCCCTGTGTAATGATGCATGCATTTTTGTCTGTCTGTTCTCCTGTCCGTCCGTCTGTTTGTCCGTTAACATATTAGTCCTGTCTTCCGTGTGTCTTTGTGTCCTTTAAGTTCATAGTCCAATTAGATGTTCGTCCACCCGTCCGTCCGTCTGTCCAATTATCTGTCTGTTTGTATGTATTCATTCATCGAACATTTTATTTGTTTGTGTATCTTTAAATATGTATTTTTTATTCTTGTTTGTTTTAATTAATTACCATCGTGGATAAGAAAAGGGGGGAGATGAAGAGGAGGAGGAGGAGGAAGAAGCGAAGTAAAGGTAGAAAGAGGAGAGAAAGAGAAGGAACGAGGAGGGAGAAGGAGAAGAAACAGTGGGAAAAGAATAGGGGAGCAAAAGAAGAAGAAGGAAAAGGTGGGGAAAAGGAAGATGTGGAAAGAGGTGAGAAGGAAGAAATGAAGAGAGAGGAGAGGATATTGGAGAGAGGAAGAAGGAGAAGAAGAAGAGGAAGAGGGTGGAAGAGAAGAAGAAAAAGAAGGAAATGAGAAGGAGGAAGAGGAGAATAAAAAGAAGAAAGAGGGGAGAAAAATACGAAGGAAAATGAAAATAAATGTCAGCCAATTAAAATATAAAAACCTAACTTAAATAATTTTTATATTCGTTCACACTTTAAAAGATATTGCTTGAAAAGTTTTAAAATTTCGTTCATTCTTAAATAGTGAACGAAAATTGGGTATAACTTTTGCTTAATCCTAACGAAACACTTTAGGATTTATTTTATTTTATTTTTTATTTTATTTATTTTTTTTTTGGAAACCATAAAATTAGTTTGAAAGTTTTTAATTGTCGTTAATATTTATAAACTTGAAACTCTATTCTTCGTTCACTCTTTAAAAGCTAAAAAAAAATATACAGCTCAAAACTTTATATTTTATCCCAAACTTTTACAACATCGGTCGAAACTTCATAACTTTCGACTCGATTGTATAAAATTACTGAGTACTTGTCAAAACTTGGTAAAGGAAATTGTTTGTTAAGATAGTCTGTATATTAACTTTTTGTCTCTTAACTGGTCGATGCTAATGAACGTATCTAATTAATATACTGTAGAGTTTCAGTGTGATTTTATTACTACTTTTATTCGCTATTTTTGGCCTTTAGTTTAAATTCAACCAGTCAAGTTCATTCTTACGTCTTCAGTTACGAGGAATAAACTTAGCACGAGCCTGAGAATCTGGACTCAGTGTGTTATTTATTACAGCTATTTCATCCAAATTTATGATTCCATTTGCCTCTCTACTTAGAGAGATTTAGTGCAATTTGTTGTCTAGTTAAAATTAATATATTTCTTCAATTTATCAGTTCACATTACCGCTTTATATCCGTGAAGACACATACACCTCATCGACCAGATTCTGGGATCTTTATTTTGTCAACTTTTTTCTAAACTTCGGATGTAAAGTTTCAACATCCTCTTCTCCTAGACACCATTTGATCACAATACACTCAGCTTCCATTAACAAGGAAATATTTTATTGACCTCATTATAGAAGGCCAATGGTAAAGCTGTCATTCTTTTGCTATTCTGTGGGTTTTTTTACATCCCTATAAAAACAATGTGACTACAACTGCCTGTCTTGTGTTCTCTCAAAACCTGAAGGTCAGGTGTGTCGACGTGTCCCTGCAGTGTATCGGGATGAATTATTCCTTAATGCTTTTGTTCACATTTTCTCAGTCGTGGATGTAATATAAACACTTTATTATTGCTCGACAGCAACTACTACTATTATGTCACAGCATCAGATGATATTCATAATTCTATCTCATTAAAATATATATCATCCTCAACACAATTAATTGAACTTTCTATTACATTGCATCAATGTAAACTGTTGCATCTCCATCAGAAGTACAAACAATAAATATATCTCTGAGTCAGTAGAATTAAGTCTCTCAGTTGACTCAATAAAGACAAGATGAATTATTATGTATCAAGACAGACAAATATACAGTCGATGTTTTAATCTTTTTTTCATCAGCTGTAGAAGGAAAATTATGAATACAAAATCGTAAGTTGATATCAAATCTCTTCTCTCCTTCCTCTCCTTTTCCTTCTTTTCTCTTTCCTTTCTCCTCCTCCCCTCCCCTCCTTCAGAGAAACAAGTGACATGAGAAACCTGTATTCCGCAACGTTGTGTCGCTAAAACGATACAATTTCCTGCAATGTTGTCGATGTGGGAATAATAATATAATGTTGTGGCAAAAACTTTACATCTCAGAGAAAATATAAAGAATTGTGATCGTAATTGTGTCTTACAATTAGTTATGAGTTATTTCTAGCACCATACTTTCGTAATTACAATATGTCTTATTGTAATTATTCCGCTATTCGTAAAGTAATTGGATTCAGACTTAGGGTAGATATTGTGATGAAGATTAACAGTCAATTATCTCAAACCATCTCCACAAAGTTGTTACTGGAATGATATGTTATAGTGTTGTTTGGTTGTCTCAAAGTGTTTCATAAAATGGTGCTTCGAAGTCGCTGTTTGAAGTTTATAAAAAATAAAATAAAATAAATAAAGGCATATCATTTTTGAGTCAAACAAACGATGGGAAGTTTTCAAGTCACGGTAAGAGTTAAACTTCAACTTAACAGGTCAGCGTTATTACCTGAAGTAAATGTAAGGAGTAAATGGTCTTCACAGAACACTTTATTTCCTTGAAAGACGAAAGAAAAAAAATACAACATTACCTTCCAGATCACGAACAGACGTCTTGGGTATGGCCAAGATTGGTGTGGTAGTGGTGAACCCAATCTAATCTAATCATAAAGATTGGGGTCCATTCCTAATGGGCCCAAATCCTCCTAAGGCTTCCCAATCCTAATGGTGACGGGGGCCTATTTGACCTGCAACATGTGTGTGTGTGTGTGTGTGTGTCAATAAAAACTGCAGGGGGCAGGGCGTGACCTTCCTCTCGGTGTTCCTCGTTCACGGAAAGCAAAATACCAATGGCTAAAGTTTAAACTGCTTCTCTTACGACGATGCCAGTCCCCCCCCCGCCCCCTCCCTCCTCACACGTACGAATTTTTTCTCTGCGCGGAAATACAGTGAATTCAGATAAGTATGTGTAATGAAACACACACACACACACACACACACACACACACACACACACACACACGCTCTCATTTATTAGATTTTATCAGTGCACAACGTTTCATCATTTTTATAATAAAGAGATTATAATCTTAGTTGAAATTATCATATATATATATATATATATATATATATATATATATATATATATATATATATATATATATATATATATATATATATATATATATATATATATATATATATATATATATATATATATATATATATATATATATATATATATATATATATGTTTCCCATATAAGACATTATGACAAAATAAATGATAGGAAAAATGTTCGTGATTTTTGTAATAAGTACAATGTAGTAGTGGGAATATTCACTTATAAACAATGGCATTTTCTTAAAACTTTAAAACAGTAAATAAAGATTTTACAATGATAGCAAAGCCGAAGAGTTTCAATTCTAAAAAAAAAAGTTATTTACTATTTCTCCAAAAAAATATTACAAAAATTTAACCTAATAGAAAAAAAGTTTGTCACATACTTCCTGTACCAAAAACAGTCGCCTCTGCGCCTTGGTATCCACTGTTAAAAACTCTGCGAATTTTCCTTAACTGTGAAAGATAATCCTTGCAAGAAGTTCACTTGTCTAATAATAACTTCTCATGTTACGCCTAGTCATCATGTACTTTATTTTACACATTTATTTTGGAAAAGTTTGTGCGTGTCATCACTTTTTTATATTCCTGTTAAAAGGTTAAATTAAGATTTCTTGACAAGAAAAATATTAATTGAAACATTATCATTTCTCTGAAATTGTATGCTTGTAAGCAAACGTTGTCACCAATAAAAATATCAAAGTTTTAATATGCACTTGTTGGTGTAATAATTCATTCATATGGACACCGTGTAGTTTCCCCTAAAAGTATGTAATAAGTATAGTTTTTCATTAATTGTACCAGTCATTGCAGTGCTCACTTCTAGTTTAGTAAAAATATATGCTTCAACACCTTTCCATAAACCTAAGAAAAGTTAGTGTAACTTTTCATTAGCATTAAAACTCTGTAATCGTTGGAATATATATGTATATAAAAAAATCACACACACCGTCTCCAAAAAATCGCGGGTGGACGACGAGGCACATCACATGTCAACAAGAGGGAGTGGGAGGTGGGTAGGGAGAGTAGTAGTAGTAATGGCAGCGGCAGCAAGCACGTTCCTGTGAGCCAGTGAGTGTGCGAGAGAGGACTGACAGCAGCTCACTCACGTCGACGTTACTCCTAGCGCGTCCGGGAGCGTACTGAGGCGGCCTGGCAGTGTTTGGGTGGCCTTAAACTAGTGCCTCAAGCCCGCGGACACTGGCTTCTGAAGAGGCGCGCCACTGACTCCAAACCGATCATTTGCTGATGGACATGCGCAGTTTTTTTTTATGGCGCAGTGTTTGTCTTGTGAGGCGAGGTGGGGGCGGTGGAGAGAGGGGGAGTTGGTGGGTAAGTCAGTAAGGGAAAACTATACTTGTTTCTGTCTGTTTGCTGGAGTCTGTTTGTCTTGAGGGACGTGAAGGGGAATAGAGGGAAGGGAAGGGAGAAACAGACTGAAGAGTGTACCAGAAGGTGAGTTTATGTAATTATTATTGTGTGTAAGTCTGTTTGTCTCTTCTTGGGTGACGGGGGAGAGAGGGGGACAGTAGGGAGGAAAGGGGAGGAGGGAGGGACAGAAGAGAGGGGAAGGAGGGGCAGAAAGAAGGGAGGAGGAGCAGGAGAGAGAAGAGGAACAGAATAGGAGGGGCAAGAGGGGTGAGAGGAGGAGATAGGAGGGAGGGGTGAGGGGAACATGTGTCATTTTATCTCTGTTTTTGTTGCGTTCGTATGTTTGTCTATTGTCTTTTCTCTCTGGTGAATGTTACACCCTGTAATATCCTGCAATGGGAGCGACACCCCCCCCCTCTCTCTCTCTCTCTCTCTCTCTCAACCGCACATAAATATTAGAACTCAGATTAATAAGTACTCGTATTGTACCCCCACCCCTCTAGGAGAGTGCAGGAACGGCCCTCTAGCTACGGCAGATTCTAGAATAAATTTAAATGCCAATATGAAAAACCACCCTCTCCCTCCCTCCCTCCCTCCCTCCTTCCTTCCCTCCCTCCCTCCCTTCATCCCTCCCTCCCTCCCTCCCTTCGTCCGTCCGTCAGTCCCTCATTCCCACCTCCCTTCTCTCCCTCTCTCCGTCCCTCCCTCACCCTCTCCGCCCGTCCATTTTTCTGTCTGTCCGTCCGTTCCTCCCTCAGTCTCTCCCTCACCTTCCTCCCTCTCTCCGTCCGTCCCTCCGTCCTTCCCTCCCTCTATCCCTCCCTCCCTGCCTCCCTCCTTTCGGTGACGCAGCTTAAGTGAGCCAGTTAGGAGCGTTCTCATATTATCCGCTAAGGTAAAATTTTTAACTTAGGTATCTCTGAGAATCCCGGCTTAAGACTTTACGAGTGTACGTGGTTTGTTTGCGATTGTGTTTGCGATATTTTCTTTGGGATATTTGGCACATGTTAAAATATCCTAGAGAGAGAGAGAGAGAGAGAGAGAGAGAGGGAGAGAGAGAGAGAGAGAGAAAGAATGGATAAAAAAAAATAAGAGTGAAAGTAAGAGAAGGGATGAAGGAAGAAAATAGAAATAGAGAAATGCAAAGAAAAGAATAAGAGATAGAGAAAGAGGGAGAGAGAGAAAATTGTACAGATCCATAACCTTCCAACAGCTGCTTGCCCAACACCTCCGTAATCCCAGGATAACACACCCTAACTAACTAATCCTGGAATCACAGCGCGTTTACCCACACAATACTGTACCCTCCCACTCCCTCCCTCCCCTCCCTCCCCCCCCCCCCCCCCCCCCCCCCCCCCCTCTCTACTTTCCTACCCCCTCTAAATTTTCACTCTCTTCCTCCGTTTCTCCCTCCCATTTTTTCTGTTGCTTCCTCTATTATTTTTCTCTCCTACTTTCTTACCTCCCTTCCCCCTCTCTCTCTTATTCGTCTCTCTTCCTTTCTCCGTTCCCTCTCTCTTTTTCTCCTTTTCTCCTATTCTTTCTTTTCTCTCTCCCTCTTCCTCCTCTTCGTTCCCCCTTTCTCCTCCTTTTCTGTACTTTCTACTTCCTTTTCTTCTTTCTCCCACTTATTTTCCTCCCTCTCTTCCTCCCTCCTTCCTTTATTTCTCATGCTTCCTCCTCCCACTCCCCCCACTCATTTCCCTTCTTCATTTATCTAACGGCTCCCGTGGGCCCACCAGGACCCACCCGTCTCGAAGGTGTAGCCCCAGAACGGGAATGGGCCTAAACCCACTCATCACTTGATTTTGGGCCCCGTTTTATGAAAATGGGCCCCATGATATAAGGGTGTGGCCCCACAAAACAAGGGTGTTCCCAAAAGCAAAGGCAGACCCCACAAAAGAAGAGTGATCCCCACAAATGTCAAATTTGGAATCCCCCAAAATGGATGAATCCTAAAAATTCTAAGGTGGTCCCACGAAATCCACCAGCAGCGATGGTGGGCCCAACAAAACCCACCAGCGACGAGGGTAGGCCCAATAAACCCCACCAGCGACGAGGGTGGGCCCAACAAAACCCACCAGCAACGAGGGTGGGTCCAACAAAACCCACCAGCGACGAGGGTAGGCCCAATAAACCCCACCAGCAACGAGGGTGGGCCCAACAAAACCCACTAGCGACAAGGGTGGGCCCCACAAAACCCACCAACGATGAAGGTCAGCCTAACAAAACCCACCAGCGACGAGGGTGGGCCAGTGAGAAATGGTTACATCTTTTATTATGCCCCGGGCTGGGTGGATGGGGGGAACCTATTGTTCGGCCTCACTCCACCCATCTGTTTGTCACTTCCCGATACCCATACAGGCAGACGGCCGCCTACGTCCTGTCAGCTTGGTATTGAGAGGCATCCATTCTAGTGTATTTACTCCTCTTAATACATAAATATCAGTCCTGGTACATGATTAGACGCAAGTACTGACATGTAAGGATATAAAATACAGGTACATAAATAATTACAGGAATACGTAGATATCCAAGTACAGTTACTGACACAAGTACAGCTATAGACATAAACTCAGGAACAGGTATTTACACAAGCAGTTACAGATACAAATATAGGTCGTATACAGTTTTAGGTACAAATAGACTAGTTACAGTAAAAGTGCTGTTACAGGTACAGAAATATGCAAGTTTAGATATAATTATAGATACACATACAAATATTACTGTGTATTTTAAGGTTGAATCCATCTTGTTCACAAAGAGAATAAGATCAAAATAGTTCACTCACATGTCATTTCTAGATCGATCGTTGTAGTACTGTCCTGGTACGAGTGAGTTAATGTACCGCGACGCTGCTGGTAAATCTAGTTGTCATGTTAAGTAGAAAATTCTCTTTGTTGGGAGTTTGACGTTGCCCAGCCTGGCGAGGAGATTGATCGACTGTAGTCTTTTGGAGAGCGATCAGTTTTAAAGCCCTGTTTCTTTTTTGGGTGGATGAATGAATTAATCTGCTGCCTCACTTCACCCCCACACACACACATCATCATAGGCTGGCGCTACTGTTGTAAATGTCTCTCCAGCAGTCACACACACAGAGGGGCACGTGAGGCCTGTCTCCCTGAAATTGTGATTGATCGATTTTTAATTACATCGTGAGGAAATCGATTTCATTTCCTCCTCTGCCGACCCTCAAGTACTCGTTGGCTGTTGGTAAAAAAAAAACTGACGCTTTCACAGATTGACTGACATACAGACAGTCTATGTATGTGTGTGTGTCTGTGTGTGTCCTGGCTGCTAGACATTCAGATCGATCGATTCTAAACCCCCATTTTGATCATATCGACATCTGGTCCCACTATAACGACCCCAAAGACCTTCTCGGTTATTTCCTATGGGTTAAAATGGACAATCTGACAAACAACCATTCTACATACACGTGTCGAGGCTCTCAGTACCTTCAGATAGATCAGTTTTAGCCGCCGTTAAGATCATATTGATTTTCAGTTCCCCTTTGACGACTGAGTTAGTGCCACGCTCCCCTGACTGGTGAATCTGCTCGTCACATTATGTGGAAAATCGTCATTGTCGTGTGTGACGTGGCCATGTATGGGGGCAAGGTTGTGTTTGATGTTTATGATAAGGAGGGAGGAAGTCATTGTTTGGGCTAAATGTACCGGAAGTTGTGGGAGTTGTTAAGTGTGTGTGTGTGTGTGTGTGTGTGTGTGTGTGTGTGTTTTGTACTGGGTAAGTGTGAATTTTTGAGGCACGTGGAGGTCTTTATTTTATATGTGTTCCTTTAACTATCATGATCTCTCTCTCTCTCTCTCTCTCTCTCTCTCTCTCACACACACACACACAGAGATGTTCTTGCAAATATCATTCGCTTTATCACATAACATAACTTTTCGTAAAAACAGTTTAAAATACAGATTGATTCGTCCATGAAATTAAGTTCTTGATATTAAGATTAATATTTTTTAAGGCAATAAAGAGCAAACCGATTTAAAACAATTACTCATTATAATTTACACCATAATTTATCAAGTGAAAAATGCATATATATCTATCACAATTTTAATATTACGCCCAGTGGCAGATTAAAAACAATTAATTAGCCTTTTGAGAGATTATTATAATCCATATTAATAGCATGAATCCCCGCACACACGAGAGGCTTCTTATTTTGTTTATAGTTTGGTTATATGTAGCTTGTGTTTGTCTGTCTGTCTCTGTGTTTGTGTTTGTCCTGCATTTTAGTAATAATTGTGACATAGTTTCAATAAATATATATTTTACGAAATTTTCAGCTGGTCTGTATATGGAGTCGATCATATAGTTAAATATAATGTTATAAAATGCATTTATATATCTAACCTAACCTAACATAATTAAATAATTATTATTTTTTCTCTAGATAGCTAATGATGTGTCACTTGTGTCATCTAATTTAACTCTGCGTGCACTAATTTATATGGAGTTATAGCAAAGTAAACACACAAAATACTTATGTCGTAAAAGCCTATTAAATTTAAGGCTTACTTACATACTGTACATGCAAGACCATTAGTAGTAATCAACACACTAACTCCACCAACACTACCAGGCACCCAACAGCAGTACCTGCCTGCCGTGGCCACACCTGCACTCTACTATCACCCCTCCCTGCATCCCCCCCCCCTTACTAAAGCTGGTCATTAATTCCGCGTCACACAAACACACAGCATCGCTCTGGCTGGACTCCTGCTCCAAACACAGATTTACCCAACCTTCAAATTTATTTCTCTTTGATGCC